TGTTTAGAGGTAATCTCTCTTCGTAAAGCTGATTTAATCCTGCAAACAAATTTGATGAGATGAGTAATTACGGGCCATCATAACAATCCAGAGAGAGAGATAGAAAAATATATGTGTAGAGAGAGAGATCGGAATCAGATCGGGCAATACTTGTTGACATCGCAGATTAGAATCAGATTGAGAGCCCTCGTCCATCCTCCTTGCCATTAGACTATTGGCTCCCGTGGATGTAGAATTTGTTGGAGAACATCAGCGCTCCAGTGAAGGACCAACACCAGAGCTGCGCCATGTGCGATGGCGAGGAGGGCCCTGAGGAAGCTAGAGCACAGGCTATCTGGCGGTTTGCTCTCGGCGGCGAGGCGGGCCGGCCACAGGTGAAAACGGTGCACATGGACGGGGCGGTGGCAGGGTAGGCTTGACGCACTGGTTGTTGCAGCCATGGAGCTTGGATATTGGAGAAGATGCACGAAGCGACGGGCTGTGGGAAAGGAAGTGGTGGAGCCATGGAACTGAAGCGGAGAAGTAATGGGATCCGGCCCGGCGTGTGCTCCTGTCGGACTTCCACTCTTCGGTTACATAAATATCAACGGGCCTCTTCGGTTTTTAGAGAGTAGGTTCACACGATTTTTTTAAGAATGCTGATGTGGTGAGCTGCATGACCAAAATAATTAAGAGAAATTGATTATGTGGCTGCATGTCAAGAGAAATAGATTAGTGGGGATGAACTATTTAGGTATTGGGTATTATAGATAAGCATTGCTGTAGGTCCAAGGTCATTTCATCAAAATTTGAGTGCTCCCACCTTTGACCTTCCAACTTGCAAATACAAAAATTAAATCCATCCAAGACAAGGAAACATAAATCACTACCTGCGTGTCATTTATGTGATCCTCGACATGCTCCACCGCCCGCCCTACAAAGCAAAGGCAAAAGCAAAAGTGCACATTAGCAGCCCGCGGGAAACATGAATTGAGCTGGGAAAAAATCCATAAACAATCGCTGAATCCCAGCGAGGGCCCATAAGCTGCGCAGAGACCTCACGCTCCTCGGCGTCCTGAAGCACTCGAGCGTAAGCCTCGTCATCCTCGTACTCTGCAGGGTCTAGCTCTGGCTCCACATCCTCCACCTCCTCATCATCATCGAACCCCTCCTCCTCGTACTCAGGAGAGCTCGTCCTCGCCTTCATCCTAGCACTTGCCCTCACCCTCAGCCTCGATATCACCGTCCCCATCACCGTCGACGCCACCCGGGTGCTCCTGGTGGTGGACGCGGAGGTGGTGCTCCAGCTCCTCCTCTCCCATAATCGCTGCCCTCACCGCCGGCGGCTTCGTTCATCCGCAGCATCATTAGGGCTTCTCCTGCATCGATCCAAACGGGATGTACATGTTAGTCGCTCCCGCAAAAGAATTAAAATATCGGGATGTCAGTCGCGCGCATCGGAACCCTAGGGACGAGGACGGGACGGCCGGGGCCGCGAGATCTATCAACTTGCCTGCTCCTGGAGGACGCGCGGCGAGGTCGGCGTGGACCTGGCTGAGGGGCGTGAAGGGGCGCCGCGCCGCGCCTCGTCCTCGGCCGCCGCAGCGGCATCGTCTCCCCCTCCGGAAGCGGCGGCCGGCGGCTGCGGGGAAGGTCGGGGCCGTGCCTCTCGCCGCCGCCGCTCCCGTTGGAATACTCCAGGGGAGCGATGGGGCGGGGCGGGGCGGACGGGATTACTCTGGTTAAGCGCAGCCTGGTCGCCGGGATCTGGTAAAACTAAGCAAACGACACGCATAACCCCCATCACCGGCGGGATCTGGTTCGTGTCCGCGGCTGCCTGGGCAAAAGGTGCCGCCGGGCCTTGGCTTGGTCAACTCCACGAAAGCCTGTCGTTGGGCTATTTGGGTGTTTGGCTCTTGTGAAAACTCTTATTTCCGATGAAAACCAGATAGAAATGTCTCAACTACTAAATGTGCTGCTTTGTGTTTCTCATTTTTAGTAGTACTACTATATCCTATGATTGATACAAAGTTCATTTGGCAGATGTTTGAAGCTCGAAAATGGTTTTTTTTTGGCGCTATGGGACGCTAAGCTTGCTATATGGTTGCTAATGTGTTATATTGCGTACATTCCTAATTATGTTTGTATATACGGGGTTAAGCGTGCGAACCAAGAACAGCTATTGTCATTCCTCCTTAACGAATTTGCCTCGGATTAGTTTACGTAGAATGCAGGACTGGGAGTTGAAGCGGTATTAATTCTCATGCATGGGGGTGCGACATGCTCTCCTAATTTCCTCCTCCGTGCATTGCATGCGACGGTCCATCTTCCATCTACATGGTAGAGGGGTAAAATTGGATAGTTACGACATAAACGTAATGGATAGTTACGACATAAACGTAAAACATTGTTGCGTTGACCTTCATCATGCAACCACACTGTTGTTGCGCTGACCTTCACCATGCAACCACGCCGGTGTTGCGCTGACCTTCACCATGCCTGCACCAAGCATGCATGCGGCCTTGCCTTCGCCTCCAATGGCTAATCCCATATTTAATATTGACCACCTTATTTTTGCTTTACATTCAACTTGTTCTATTCACGGTTATATGCAAAATATGTTAAGCATGTATATAACATCATTATAATAGCAACTTGATGTTAATTTATTACATTAAGGGGAGTAATTGTTTCTACTTCCTCTGTAAAGAAATATAAGAGCGTTTAGATCATTATTTTAGTGATCTAAATGCGTTTCTACTTCCGTCTCGTCATGTCCGTGATCACATCCAGGACTCCAAACAACCTTCAGTACATCAAATCACATAACTCATAATACATATCGTCATATAATGTTAAGCGTGCGGGCCCTATGGGTTCGAGAACTATGTAGACATGACCGAGACACATCTCCGGTCAATAACCAATAGCGGAACCTGGATTCTCATATTGGTTCCTACATATTCTACGAAGATCTTTATCGGTCAAACCGCACAACAACATACGTTGTTTCCTTTGTCATCGGTATGTTACTTGCCCGAGATTCGATCATCGGTATCATCATACCTAGTTCAATTTCGTTACCAGCAAGTCTCTTTACGCGTTCCACAATGCATCATTGAAAGTGCTAGTTATCGAATAGAGGGGGGTGAATAGGCGATTTTTATGAAAGTCTTCAAAACATGGAAGTTTCGAAGACAAACGATAGAAATGAACCTATTAACATGCAACGGAAGGTAGACTACACTAGGCAAGCCATAGTCAAGTATTCAATGAAGTGAAAGCACAAAGACTAATAGCAGCTAGGCAGTATGGATCAGGATGGAAGATAGTATAAAGCCAATCAGAACAAGCAGTCACACGGTGAAGACAAATAGATAATGCAAACAGGCAATGACTTCACAAGGACCTACTGTAAATAAAGAGATGGGAAAGATAGAACCAGTGGCTTATTGAAGACAATGATTTGTTGGACCAGTTCCAGTTGCTGTGACAACTGTACGTCTGGTTAGGGAGGCTGAGATTTAACTCAGAAGACCGCGTCTTCACCTTATTCCCCTTGAGCTAAGGACACCCAGTCCTCACCCAATCACTTTGGTAAGTCTTCAAGGTAGACTTTCAAACCTTCACAGACTTCGTTCACCGGCGATCCACAATGACTCTTGGATGCTCAGAACATGATGCCTAACCGGCTGGAGGATTCACAATCCTTAAGTGTAACAAGTCTTCAGATCACACAAACAGGAAGACTTCAGTGATGCCTAACACTCTTTGGCTCTGGGTGTTTAGGGCTTTGTCCTCGCAAGGATTTCTCTCTCAAAGGCTTCGAGGTGGGTTACTCTCAGACGATAAAAGTCGTGCACTAACTCTGAGCAGCCAACCAATTTATGGTGTAGGGGGTGGGCTATTTATAGCCACTAGGCAACCCGACCTGATTTGTCCGAAATGACCCTGGGTCACTAAGGAACTGACACCTGTTCCAACGGTCAGATTTCAAACATACGCGGCAACTTTACTTGGGCTGCAAGTAAAGCTGACTCATCCAGCTCTGGATAAGATTTGCTCTCATTGTCTTCGCTCGAAGACATAGGATTTTTGGTTAAGCATCACTTTAGTCATTCTGACTTTGTTCACTGGGACCCCACTTAACAGTACGGTGGTTTCTATGACTCAACAAAGAAGAAAAGGAAACAACAAAACAACTAAGTCTTCGCACTCCATAGTCTTCACGCGATGTCTTCTCATGTCATAGTCTTCAATGTGAATATCTTCACATACCACATTTGTCTTCAATGTCTTCATATATTTTTAGGGGTCATCTCCGGTAGGAAAACCGAGTCAATGAGGGACTACTACCTGTGTTATCCTACAATTCTCACAAACACATTAGTCCCTCAATCAGATTTGTCGTCAATACTCCAAAACCAACTAGGGGTGGCACTAGATGCACTTACAATCATCACGTGACTAACTCATTAATCACATTGCTTGCAAGGCTCATAGTGATGTGCATTACCGAGAGGGCCCAAAGATACCTCTCCGACGATCGGAGTGACAAATCCTAATATCGATCTATGCCAACTCAACAAACACCATCGGAGACACCTGTAGAGCATCTTTATAATCACCCAGTTATGTTGTGACGTTTGATAGCACACAAGGTGTTCCTCCGGTATTCGGGAGTTGCATAATCGCGGTCATAGGAACATGTATAAGTCATGAAGAAAGCAATAGCAATAAACTAAACGATCATAGTGCTAAGCTAACGGATGGGTCTAGTCCATCACATCATTCTCTAATGATGTGATCCCGTTCATCAAATGACAACACATGTCTATGTCTAGGAAACTTAGAAGATCTACTTCAGCACCAAGCAATATCAAACTCTTCCAGGATCGCCGACAGGTTTCATGTGTAACAAAGGCATTCTTGGTGGCAAGATTGCGAATGCGATTGACGTCCACCAAGAGGCTTTGCATCTGATGCTTAAGCCAGTCATGATGCTTATCATGTTTCTGATGTAGAGCGATGAGAAGCTCTCGGTCATTGAGAACACGAGATCGCTTCCGAGGCCTTTGGGCAATGGTACTTGCAGTGGCTTCAGTTTGTGTGTGAGGGGCGCGTGTATTGCCAGCCAAGGGATAAACACGAGAAACGGCCTGAACTCCTTCAATGGGTTGGGTGAAGCTTTGACGATCGACATTATGAAGATAAATTGGCTCCTTTGCAGGCTCTGGGTAAATGGCTTCAACAGACAGATCAACCTCTGGCAAGAATATAAGATGATTGCGCGCAGATGGCTGATAGTTGATAGGAGAGTGAAGCTTGATGAGGCGCATTACCCATGGAGCATAGAACTTCAGACCAAAGATGTCGGAGCCAGATGCAGCCAACTGCCTAATGAAGAAGTCTTGAGCATTGAAGCTGATGCCATTGAAGATATAGAAAACCAAAGTCTTCATTGCTCCTTCAAGCTTCGCTGTAGAGGAATGTCCTTTGACATGCCATAGAGTTCACCTGATGATATGATATATGGTGCGAGGCAGATACTCTAGGTCTTCAACAAAGAATTCCGTTGAATATTCAGCATCGCATGGCAGAGGCTTCATCATGCTCAGCATTTGGCTCATGTTAGGCTCTGGCTTCTAGAAAATGCTCTCCAAAGCATTCTGGTGTTGCTGACAACCTGGTTCATAATATTAGCCAGGAGTGGGCAGGGTTGTGAGCTCAATAATGTCTTGGGCTTTAGCTTCATGATGTACATCGTCCGTCATCCACTCAAGGATCCAAGTCTTCGGATCCCTGTTGTATCCACGAATGTGGAGTGTAGCATAGAATTGAAGCAGAAGTTCCTCATTCCAATGTTCCTTGTCAGTCACAAAGTTGAGCAGACCCGCATCACGGAAGCAGTCAAGGGCTTCTTCAAGGCAAGACAATCCAGCAATGGCTTCACAATCAAGACGCATATGTGGGAAGATGCGCCCCTGATTGTATAAGATGTAATAATAGTAGTTGCGCTGCTGATAACTCCAGAATCGATCTAAGGAGATTCTTGGCCTTGTGTAGGGGTTCTTGTCACTGTCAAAGAATGTGTTGTGTGCCTTGAAGCCATTCAGATTAAACAATCCTGGTGACATTACAATACCTGGAAACCATGGTAGCCTTGGCTTTGGCTTCTGGACCTGAGGCTTGTGCTCCATGTGATAGGCAAATTGAGGTCCGGGAGCAGGCGGAGGAACCAGAATTGGCCAG